ACTTGACTAAATGCTCTCTTAATATCAGGTTCTGAACGGAGACGTCGGACCTGTGGGTAGACTCTAACTACACTGGAGACGGGGGTTAAGGATTTTAATGTCTGGGTTAGCGAACATAGAATTGACAATATATTCGGATCTGTAGGTCTTTATCGATAGTACACTGGTGGATTTTACCCTAGAAGCCATCACACGTCGGAATTCTTTGCTTTTACTGGCGGACCGTTGTTTTTATTTATTGTTTATTTTTAATTTCATTTTTCCCATCCATTCTTGATCGTCTAGATAAAGTTTAGGATAGTATAATTACGGTACTTGGTAGATTTAGGAACTTAATTCCCTGTGGATCGATATCTGGAATTCACTATTCTACAAAACGCGATACTGTACACTTGCGGTAATATATACGTAGGTTTTACGCGTATCAAGTTTTTGATAGAAGGTCTCCTTTTCATTTTTCGATCGCTCGACCATCTCTCGACTTTTTCTTCGGTTTTCTCTTCGGTTCTCGCCAGTTCTTCGCGGGAAGCTTCGACGAGGGTTTCGACTTGGGTTTTTCATAAGCTTTTCTTTATGTTTAGTTTATAATTTCTCGTATTCTTCATTTTGATGCTATGTTTGTAATGAACTGAGCATTTTCGTTTAGGGAAATGAAACCTTGTATATATTGATTTTGATTTCGAGATCTGTGATCTATTTTTCGTTCTTTGATTTTGTTTATGTTTTCCTGTATTAAATGCTTTCGATTGTTTGGCCAACAATTGAATTGATTCTAAATGGGAATGAACTCGAGAGAGGATTTCTCGTTTGATTTTAGGAAAGCATAGCTCGGGTTGTGGAAACGGAGACGTGATGCACCTCGGGTAGCCCTTAAGGACTTGACCTAAATGCTCTCTTAATATCAGGTTCTGAACGGAGACATCGGACCTGTGGGTAGACTCTAACTACACTGGAGACGGGGGTTAGGGTACTTTAGTGTCTGGGTTAGCGAACATAGAATTGACAATATATTTCGATTTGTAGATCTTTATCGATAGTACACTGGTGGATTTTACCCTAGAAGCCATCACACGTCGGAATTCCTCGCGTATACTGGCGGACCGTTGTTTTTATTATTTTTGTTTCCTTTTGGCTTCATGTCATCTCCCATCTTTTTCTCCCGTCTAGATAAAGTTTATGATAGTATAACTACGGAACTTGGTAGATTTAGGAACTTAATTCCCTGTGGATCGATATCTGGAATTCACTATTCTACAAAACGCGATACTGTACACTTGCGGTT